AAAAAAAACAACACCGTTTTAATTATTTCAGTATCCATAAACAACTGACTGAAAATATAACAAGACAGACAATATGGAAGAGGTCAAGATTTGGACCCATTTTATAAACACAACTGAAAAAGATATAGAAGACACTTCAGTATCTAAGGGCCTATTAATGTTTAAAGCAAAGAAAGAAAGATTTGTAGTGTTTTCAAAGTACTGGAACATTAATTGTGTATTATCCTTCTAGCCAATGAACCTGATGGCGTGCAAGACCTACCTGTGGGCTTGTCTTTCTAAAAGTGTCAGTTCCATGTATCACATCCCTTATTATTCTTTCTCTGAGATAATTATATTCCTCTTCCGTGAGGTCACTATCCTCCAACTGATGGTTGCAAACCGGGCACTGTCCACTGTAATAATAGTGAAACAAGAAAATAAAAGGTTAAAGGCTTTTAAATAACAAATAGCTTAAATTGTACTAACTTACTGAGTGCCTATGTGTGAGCACAATTCTTTATAAGAACTCCAACACAATATAATCGTCAGAAAATTAGTTGTACTCTTTCTGGGATGCATCCAAAACCTACTAAAGTAACTAGAAATACTTTTATCTGATTTAGTGGGATCAGGATCAAAGATCTAACTCTAGAGATATTTGAGGATTTACGACAAAAACTCTGCATGAAAGCATAGGAAAAAAAAGAGTATTTAAATATTCACCAGCATTCATCTAAGCTTTGAGAGATCAGAGTTCAATTCCCAGCATCACCGTAAATTTCCACATCTCTAGTATTTTGAAGTTTCTTTACTACACAGGAAAGCCACCATGGATACATACAGCCCAGATCTCAACGTGGGAAGGTGATGCAGTTGCACTGGCTTGGCCAGAACACAGGAAGTAGCTGTAGGCATACTAGCTGAAGCTAGCAGGCAGGCCACGGAGCTTTGGTCTAGCAATAAATCCATTCCAAAGTACTACAAGAAAATGCACCAGTGAAATGTTCTACCATTGTGCCACTGACTGCTCCCAGAAAAAAAGCTAAGCTACCTGCGCCTGGTTTATCAAGGTTCGGAATAACCAAATCTACTACAGGTGTAGGAATACCCTCGCCCAAAAGGAAAAAAAAAAAAAAGGTAACAAGGTAACGTAGGTCTGCTGTATGGTTTGAAAAGCAAATAATGAGCAAGATCGTCATCTTTGGGCCACTTGTCTTCTGCTATCAGATCTCCCCTTATTTCTAGGCTAAGACTGTTCAGATCTCTCTAAGGTGCTCAAAGTGAACAGACTGAGAGCAGAATGTGACTAAAACAGAAATGCTGTTTGCTTTGAAAGCCCTCAGCAACACTGTCACGCTGGCGTGATCTTCTAGTATCAGGCTGACTGCACCCAAACAGAAAGCAGCTTTACATTGCTATCTCCTGGTGACTAATCACTACTTGTTTCTTTATTGCTAAGAAACTCTGCTGTGTAGCATGGACTAAATATCATCACATGGACCTAGGAATGTGGACTGCTGTCGATAAAAAAGCTCTGCAATGACTGCCATAATTTAATGTTCATTTCCCAGAGCCAGAAACACCACTCCATCATGCACAGCTGTGTCAGTGACTGTGTGGCTGCTGGGACAGTTTCCTTTATCATTCACATCATCCACTTCTCAGTACTCTCAGTTTCCCTGTTGCAGGGCCAGCGGCTGTGGTAACAATCGTGGTTCTGCAAATCCCAAATCATACATTGTTTTGTCTCTGACACAGACCAGAACTCTTCGCTGATCTGTTCACACGTTTTTCATACTGTAAGATCAAAGAGATTGAAAATCCATCATAAAAGAAAAGATTACAGAATATAACAATAGAGGATGTGAAAAAACAGAACTCAAACTCTTTAGTTTCCTCAAGAAGAGTGCTGGTATGTCACAGCAGATTCCGAAAAATCTTCCAGAACAGCAGGACTGAGGCAACGCCACAGAGAACACACAGATCCATTCCAGCCAAGAGGCCTGACTTTTTATCTAATCATCCTAATGCTGCAAAAACTCCCCAGCACTCAGAAGGGCAACCAAAACAAACCACAACCAAGAGAACCATGTCAACTGCTATGAGCTGGGTTTTCGTTCCTACAGCCAGCTAGCACAGCACACACATAATGCCAAGACAGGCCTAACTTCCATGGCTACCTCTGGATTTTTGTATGATCCCCCAGAACTATATCTTGAGAACAAGTATCTTTTCTAATATCTAGCCTTTTCTATTTTTTCATGCCCCAGTCATGACCTCTGCCACAACACACAGTCTGAAGGAAATCAAACCGCAACCGCCATCACTTCCATGTTCCATTTGTTCGTTCTTTTCTTTCCTACTTGTCTCTCCCATTAGCCTCTATAAACTAAACACATACATCAACGCAACACACAACTCTACACCCAAGTCAAAAATGCTTGTCATGCATCGGTACCACAAACCTCTGGCCCCATCATAAAACCAGCACGTAAGGCTGGGATAACACTGGAGGACTGAGATAAAACAACCCGCATCTCAGTGATTGAATTGTGAACTACATTAACTTTTTTTCCCCCTAAAAATCTTATCTAGAAGTTTTGCAGATATACTTTCTAAAGACAACCCAATGAGCTACAAATCTACATAAACGCGTGGGTGCACTTCTTGACTTGCATCTCTGATTGTGGCTTAAAACGAGAAAATTTTCCAAGCTTAATTATTTAATAACTACGTGAAAAATGAAAAAGAAATGGTCAGATAGGACACGAATGTACACTAAGGAAATTCAGTCAGCTGCGTCTGTTCTCAAGCACTTCTGCCAAGAATATTAGACGTGAGGTTCAGTTTGCATCTTCATCACCAGAACGGAACCTCCAGCCACAGTACCAATAAAATAAGTAGAATCCAGTAGCTCCTCCAGCAGGTAATAAACTGTCACGTAGTCGGAACAGGTCTTTGCTTCTTCCTGGTTGACAATCAATGACTTTTTTGCTGCTTGCTCCCACTTAAGCTTCTCTTATATTCAGGATATGTTGTTGATGTTTCACATTTTTCCTTTCTATCGTGCTCTGTTCAGAAGCCTATATGCACCCTGGGCATTGTTTGAACAGAAGGAGTAACCATTCTTCTCTAAATCCATGCAAATATCTTATTTTCACAAGCACAATCTCAGAACTGAATTGTAGGATTTGCGCTTTAAGTGTTAAAATGGAATGAGTTACTCTCCCCTGGCTGTCTCCACAGAGATATCCTGGAGATGCCAAAGCTAAGTCATTGTAATTTTCTAAACTACGGCAATCAGAAACGCTAAATTCTCCCAACAATTGATGTTTGGTATACATTAATGTACAGACCATAAGCCAAGACTGCATTAATTGCAATGCTGACAGCATTTACTGAATCAAAACAGTTATGGATGGAATCTTATCTAGGTGGTTCTGCTCTGGAAGGGGGATTGGACTACATGATCCTTTGAGGTCCCTTCCAATCCCTAACATTCTGTGATTCTATGAATCCCAACAATGGACATTCACAGCTGCGTACGAACAATACGCTTCAGTTGCTCAATCCACTACGGCCATTATGTAGGCTTAGCCTACATACCAATATAAGCGATGAGACTGGCTCCTCATACCAGTTACCATCAAATACATCTAATTGCTTTAAGGAACTCCATAGTTTAGCAACAGAGAAGAAAGCCCTAACAAACTGTTATAAGACCATTTCAAAAACATTAAGCCTGAAGTTTAAGGACCTGTCCCATAGTCAGCTTAGATCCTTCTGCAGCTACCACTTTCAGATCACTTGAAAAAAGCAAACCTCCATATCTCGACAAATCAACCCATTCCAACCGCCTATTAACGCCTTAAGCCAGTTTCTTCTTGTAAATTCTCAATGTGGATTCCCAAAGGAAGTAGAGGCAAAACAGGCAAAAGAAACACTCAGCATCTTGCAAGACTGAACCCTTAGTCTAACTGCTGCTTTTTCACAATCATACCTTTAAAATTACCTTGAAATTTTTTTAACTCCTCGTTGATAATTCTAGGATTTCACGCTGAGAAATTCCCTTACGGAAAGCTTTCACCTCTGTAGACTATATAGCTGTCCTTACACCTAATTCACCATTTAACTACTGTTTTGAGGGAATGCTTTTTTAAGACAGATTTAGAATGTCATGGCACCTACATATCAAACATGATGTCAGATGTGCTACAGTAATTTGAACGTAGGCTCAAAAAACTTGAGCTGCAGCTTTCTATAGCTGATCTTGGAAATCCAAAGCTTTTGTAACTCTCAAAGGAAAACAGTCATCAAGCTTCAAGGTCTGTTTGCAGAGGGTTCAAGCTTCTGACTATCACAGTTCAAAGAAACTAGGAGCTCAGTGCTAGAGGAGAAGAAAAAAATATCCTGGATACGGACATCTTAGATATAAATGCCAGTATTTACAGAAAATCGGAATGACCTATTAAATTGTCAAGCTCAGTTTAGGAAAAAATATTCTTCTGGATTTTTTAACTAAAGATTCATGTTTTAAGATATCAGTTATGCTGACTGCATGTCGTGGGTTAGGCCGCTCTGGCAACTAAACCCTACACAGTCCAGCACTCAGAGCTAGAAAACCGAGCTAAAACCAGGACACTGCAGAGACAAGTTCAGTAACAATCACTACATAAGTTTCAGAGATACCTCAAAGGCTTTGTTTTTTTATGACTAGGACGAAAAAACCCTATTAAAACCCTTTTCTTTTTTCTTTCTTAAATCCTAAGGATCTTTTCTGTCAGCAGCCAGTTAATTTAAACACAACAAAACTCTCATATTCTTTTTCATAGAATCATAGAATGGTTAGGGCTGGAAGGGACCTTCAAAGGTCATCTAGTCCAACCCCCCTGCAAGGAACAGGGACATCTCCAACTAGATCAAGTTTTCTTTTCTTGAAACCATCATAATTTTATTCTAATACTTATCCAAGCAAGCTACCTGAAACTTGTTTATTTCAAAATAAAAAGTGTTCATACAGTTATCACAAAATAACTACCACATAGCACCTTGTCACCACCTCGTTCAGATTCTTAATCCATGATAAAACGTGAGGTGATCTAAATTACTTCAGCTTTCGAAGTCTGTAACAAAGTTTACAGACAGTAAGATAACAAGTTACTTCAACCAAGACACTCAACTTCAGAATTTTAGAACTCTTAAAGGCTGAAAAAGGTTGTCTAGAATTTGGTGAATTATCATAATACAGTATAGTAACACACACACATACACAATAATAACAATCCCATCTTACAGTGAACAACCCCTACTCTTAGGATAGCGAGTTAACACTGTTCTTTCTTAGGCTTCAAAAGCAGCAGGCTCTACATGTGCTTTTACTTCAGAGTATGCAACACAGTGTATTTTTATAAACCATCAAAAACCCCACAATCCATTGGAGACATTCCTATAATTAATACATTTATAGTCACCAAATTGCTACAGAAATACAGAACTAGGTTTTAAATAGAATAAAATTTAATATAGGAATTTACAGACATTAAGAAAACTGTGCTGTAACAGAAACCCATATCCAAGTTACCACTGTGAAAACCTAACACAAGAATCATTTTGTCTTCACTGAAAATCAGGTGGAAAGGGAGAACCCTTCCATCTGTACAAATTAACTGCAGCATGGGAATAGTATCAGTTTTCAAGAAGACATCCATTTAGACACCAAAGCTGCTCTGTTAAATATCGTGTTAAACAATGATATTATAAAGCCAAACAAAAGAGTAAGTCTTTAATTCCTAAACAGTACAAGCTACGCAATAAAATGGTAGCTCTTATTTTTAGCTGCTTTTTTCTGTCTTGGCTCTGCTTAGCATAACTCCTTTCCAAATGTGCACGTTGGGTCTTGTTTAATGCACAAAATGAGTTGGAAACTGGAGTTTGGGAAATCACATGTACACAACTAAGGTTCATGTTCTCAAGGATTAAAATATTTTCTTATATAAGGAAAGCTATATTTTATATTTATGAAAGAAGAGTTCAAGATAGAATAATCAAGAAAAAAACCCTCATTTTTAAATGTAATGTTGCATTTACCTGTCTTTAATGTTGGTCAGATGTCCTCTCCAGTTCCCTCCTGGTATGCTAATACGTACAGAGGGAAAGATAAGTAAAACCATTACATTCTTATTTAACAATACCTGAATTATAGATAAAGAATAATTCTATTTTCACCAACATTTAGAAATAAAAGACTAATCAACCACCAACCCTGCAAAGAAATCATACAAAGATTCATACAGAGTTTAGCAACACCTGAAAATATTACACAAGGAACCAGCATTTAACATGCAGAGAACTAACACCATCAACCTCCCCAGTTTATGTTGTCCCCAAACATTAAGAACCATAGAAATAACCAGGCTGCACTGAAAAATGTTAAGTTGCTGCCCTACACATTCACAAAACACCTCTGAAACCAGATGGGAAAGAAGGAATCAAGATTTCTATGCAGATGTCCTCCTGGGAGATTAAGACAGACATGTTCATACCAAAAACATTGAGACTTTTTGACTCCACATCATTACCATCACCACCACTACCAGAGCCACCATCATGCCGGTGTAAATATTCCTTTTTGTCCACAATATCCAAACCAGAATAGGTTACAGACTAGGAATACCCATGCCAACCAACATGCAGCCACAGACAACTCTTCCTTTGCCACTGTGTTTATTACCACAGGCTGCACAATCACACATGCCATGGGCTTTGGAATAACTGCCCTGCTTCTGCCCTCCTTTCCTATTTCTCATGCTGATACATAGCAGTTCTTTAGTTTTCTTACAGAGACAACAGGCAACAGAAAATACTGTGATTACTTGTTGCACACTCGGATCTCCGTATTGGATCTGAGTAACTACCAGAAGTCAGTGCTGGTCTGCTCTTCAGAAAAATAATTTTTTAAAACTAACACCTATTCAGTTACACTTACAGAGCTCACTTCTGTGCTTAATGTACCATCGGTTTCCTTTGTCAGCAAAAGTCACATCCCCATCTGCATCGTTTTTGCAAGACTCACAGTGCCAGAAGTTATCAGATTCTGTTTCTTTTTGGGAACTCCACGTAAACTGCTTATTTATTTTCAACCACCAGCATATACAGTTCAGCGCTAGCAACTGGAACAGACAGGTAAAACTAGGCATTTTGTACAGGTTCACAGATTAAAAAGTCCGATGGGATAACTGATCACCTAGTTGCATCCCTCCATTACAGACTTTGTTTGAAACACTACTTTAAGTACTGTTTCAAAGGAGACACTTGAAGGAAACACCCAACGTCTACCACAATCTTTCATTGACTGTTCTAACAGTCAAATACAGTATTAAAGATACAAACAGGAGTTTGTATCTTTAGTATCTTTGTCTAGTCTCAGCTTGCAGCACTGGTTTGCTACTATATACAGGTAACATATAGCTCTTCAATGTACTCAGATTCTGCCATCTCCTCACCAAGGACTTCTTATTACAGCGAGTTTCCTGCGCATGCAGCACACACCTACAGGTAAGCCCATGGCTACTCACTGGGAAAATAGCCCCCTATGACAGGTTTTCACCCACTAAACCAGTTTATCTCAACTGAAGCCTACTCTATCTGCTCCCTAGCTGTTCCTAGGAAAGAAAATAGCTAGGGGAAAAAAGTATAAAGTGTCCCAATAATGGTAGCGCATTCCCACAGCCATATTTTCCATCCAGAAAGACTCACTTGTAAAATGGCTGTGTACCTCACATATACCAAGCCAATAGTTAAAAAAAAAGGGTCATAGATGGGCTCACATACAACAGCACGACAAATATGCAATGGGCTTAGGTGAAATACACTGTGCACGCGCAGCGTTAACTAGTTGCAATTTGCAGTGGGACCATCGCTACTCATGAAAACAAACTGTGTGGCCTGCTAAACACTGCTAAAACAAAGGGCCTCCTATCAAGATTACTCCTCTCCTATTATTCTATACAAAGTCAACACTTAATCTTCACTTAACCTACCCTAAATTTGCTGTCTCTTTCCTTCATGGAGAGAAACTATATAATTTTCAAATAGCTTACTACTTCTACATGCCAATCAATTATAGGAAAAACACTCATACCTGTCAATATTCCTTATGTACCAACCCCAGAAAGAGATGAAGTCGAATATTTTGGACAGTCATGATCCATCACAACCCCCTACTTTCTGTACCAAGGAATAATATTTAACAGGTAAAATCTTTCAAGAAAAGGTGAAATCAGTAAGAATTTTACGCTTTTATACTGATTTTGGAGGAAAAATAAAATATATCTTTTCATGACAACATCTCTCATGCAGAAGCAACAATCGAAACGAGATGTGGAGGGATCTTATTAGACTTGATCTGTGGAATAATCTGAATCCCATCCTCTTGAACTGGAACCTGCTATTGAAACATTATTTACCTTTCAAACCATAGCTTTATACTCCGTGTAAATGTTTTGTGAGGGTGTATTTGGTTCTCTCTCAAATATAAGAGGATACCAAACAGCTCTTTTTGTAACTCAGCACCTTTCATTCCCCTAGTGAAGTCAAAAAAGGCCTGCAGGACATCCAAGGTTGGGACCAAACCCTTAGCCAACATTTCATGGTAAAGTTCAAATGCAAGGTTCATTTCTTCGTGACGGCTGGCTGCTTTGATACAGGATTCATAGTTTGTCCGTGAGGGAATCATAATCTTTTTCACTTCTTCCAAAAGAGTCAAGGCCATTCTCCATTGATCTGAATTACTCAGCCCCCTGATAACAAGGTTGTAAGCCCCACTTTCTAAAACCTTAAACCTGGTTTTCATTATATCATACACATCACAAATTTCTGAAGTCTGCCCCTGCTGGACACACAATGCCAGATATTTGACCAACAAATTATATGCAATGTCACCATTACTCTTTGCCACATGGGTCAGCAAGGACTTAGCCACATCAATGGAGCTGTTGCACCTGAGCATACTATTAAACATCACTTCTTCAAATACGTCAGGTGACCGAAAGCTTTCCCTCAGTCTGTTCCACTCCTCAGCCTGCAAAGGTTTTTCTGGAGGCTGTACATTAGTAAACTTATGCCTTGACAAAACTCGACTTATTAACTGTTTCTTTGGAGCTTCGACAGAGGAAGAAAAGTGGAGTTTCCCTTCAGACATTTCTTTAGTCTCCTCATCCTGTCCTTTTTCTTCTTCATAATCAATTTCAGACCTTTTCTTAGTAGGAAAGACATCAGTTCCTTTGGGATCCACTGGTAATGCAGTGCTGGAAGATGTCATAAAACGGAAATAGCTAACCTTTTGCCTATCGGGGATGCTGAAAGAGACAGCAAACAGTTGTAGGCATCTTGAAACAGGCCAGAACATACGACATTTCCATAGCAAAGCCTGAAAACTCTGTTGACCAGTTTGAGAAAAGAGTGCCATGACAAGAAGAAATTATCTCACTGTTAGTTCACTGTATTTAACCAAGTTATAAAATGGAAAATGCAGTTTGCACGGGGATGTTTATTATAAAATCCCAAGGGCTGTCAAGCTGTATAAGCTTCAGTTCCAAAATGCTTGTTCTATGAGTCGTTTCTGCTTCTCATGAAAACGAAAAATGGTAAAACCTTTTTTTCACAAAAATCAATCTCTTAGACTGTGAGAACATTCATCCAAAATGAGGGTATCTTTCCTTCTAAAGATGCTTTGCAGGTTTGCAGCTTATCATTTCTGTTTGTTGGTTACTGTAAAGATGAGTGCGGAGCATGCTCTATGCAGACAGGCAACTCTGATGCAGCTAGGCAAGGAACACAGGTTTATTTCTTCCTGCCTTCTTCAATCAAGTTGAGTCAGAAGGTTTCCTAAAAATCAAAACCAAAAATAACACCACAGCATCACGACCTGCTCCATGCTTTCCTATCTACATGTGCATGCTAGCAAACACAAAGTTCAAGGCACCTCGACAGTTTCAGGTCAGGAATCCCAATCCTGATCCCTCACGTAGTGCCAGCATGGGACTCCTCTGCTGGTTCCCTCATACCTTTCCACCTGTGACAAACTTCCGTTTAACTGGTTTCCCCAACCATAAATCCCTTCGGTAACGCAGCTGCCAAAGAGGCAGAGCAACACCATTGACAGCAATTACAGAGAAATCCCATGTGAATGTTAAGTTATAAACGTAAATATGGGACGTTCACCGGCAGCCGAGAAGGCAGCTGGCGCGGCTCATGAGGAGGCCCCCGCAGGGCCTTACGCCCCTCGCTCGGTGCCCCGCATGCCCAGCCCGGCCGCGCCTCGTACACTACAACTCCCAGCGTGCACAGCGGCCCGGCCCTCAGCCGCCCCTTCCTGCTGGGAAAGTCCCTCTCCCCTTCCCCCAACCTCCCCGGGTCAGCACCTAACAACGCGCGGTCCCGGCGCAAGCTGCGGCCTTACCCCTCCGGGATGGGCCTCCCTCGCTCGGCGCTGCGGGGCGGCGGCAGGCAGGGAGGGAGGAAGGCAGGGAGGGAGGGAAGGAGGCGCTGGCCGCGGAGCCGGCCGCACGGCGACCAAGGCG